TATTAAGGGGAAAATAATGGTCATCTGAAGTGGAAGAGTACTAGGAGGGGAAAGGCTGAAGAGATTTTAAATGAGACAAACCAAATACATCATAATTTTGCCAGGGTTGGACGTAGTGACCCTCATTTGGGTAAGGAAAAACAATCTGTTCAGAAGTCTTTCTGAATTCCTGCTGGTGTTTCTTTTCCACTTGGCATCGTATGTGAAGCATTTCTTTTAAAGCATATGCCAACTCATTTCAGAGGGAGCTTTGTTCTCAGATGATCCAGTAATTGAGGTATCATTGCAGAAATTGGAACAAAATTTAATTTATATTGTAGAACTCCTTAGTGTGGTTCATTTTTCAATCCCCCGTCTCCTCCCCTTGTGCCTCCAAACACACTCTCTTCTCACTGCCAGAGTAATTTCAGAAGATTCTATAATAAGTTCTCAGAGGCCTATTGTGCAGTAACAAAGAATTCCAGCAGTGAGCTGTGGGTTCTGCCCTTCTCTGCCTCCCTGAGTGCAGGGCTGCCCTCATCGCTCACCGATGGTAGAGGACAAGCTTGCCAAGCACTAGGAGCCCAAGCACTCACCATGCCAATCAAGCCTGTTGGGTGGATATGTGGGCAGGTGTTGAAGAACTTTTCTGGAAGAAGTATACACAATCTTGTTGTAAAGGGGATGTGGGTGTGGGAAGCTGGGAATAAAGTCCCGTGGGGTTTGCTTGCTTTTCCAGTCCCCTAGGCAATGGGTACAGTGTTCCATATTCTTTGGAGTTATGGTCAGGGGATGTTTTTAAAGCTCTTTTTTCCCTCTAACTTCTTTTTGTCTTAGTCGAGGGAATCCAGAAAACAATCATGGACCTTATTGATGAGTTTAAAGATGAGTTCCCTACCATCCTAAGATTATCACAGTCTAATCAGGTAATGTGATTTCATAACTGAACAGAATTATAAAAAGTACATTGTATTTTTATTATCATACCAATTATTTAATGCTTGATTTTTGAAATCAGTGTTTGAAGATTAGGAAAACAATTTTACTTCAAAAAAACAAATTTCAACTCTTCCTCATTGGGGGAGGTGGGAGACAAAGAATGTCTGTAGTTAGATAATTAAGTTTAAAGACAGACTCCGTATTGTTAGAGTGAAAAGCTAGAACCCCTTCATAGCCCAATTGCAATGTAGTTTACTTCAGACTTGCTTAATTAAAAATCAGAAAAGTACCTAGATGTACTTTAATTAAAATATCTGGTAGTAAAATAAGTGGAAAAAGTAACACATAAATTATAACAATGGAAAGATAAGTATTGTTCAAGTGTGTGTTTTATGTGGAAAGAAAATGATATAAATTTAACAAAGTATATATGTATAGGTTTTAAACATCTGTTCCAAAAAAAAGGATTTGAAATATAAAATACTGGGATTAGAAGAGGGTGTAGGGAGACATTTTGAAGACATGGTCAGAAAAGAGTAATACCACGTTTAGGGGGCACACATGACCTACTTTACTCAAAAGAACACACCTCTTAAAGGAAAAGTGTTGTTTTAAACATTCTGCCCACAGCCGGAACGGAATACATTGTAAAGTTAATGGTTCAGTAACAATCTGCTTACCCAGAAATCAGCTTTTGGCAATGTCAAACATGAGGAACACAGTCAACACCTGTGAGTAAACAACAACAGAAACAACATTCTGATAACAGTAATGACAAAGTCTACATATTTCATTCCAGAGAATGAGGTATTAGAGCTACCTTTAACCATTCACCCAGACACCCAGGCATCAGATGTTAACTAAATGTTTTACTATTGCATGGGCCTGGGGAGAGGGGATACGGAGATACACATGATAGGATTCTTTCAGTCACTGAGCTTAATTTAATGGAGACCAAGTTATAAACAAATAATTGCATTAGAATATGGTAAGAGGTATATCCAGTGTAGAGGAATGAGTCACTCCACCTAGGACAGTCAGAGAGGGCTTCATGAAAGAAGGATTCTTAAATTGAGTTTCAAAGGACAAATAGGAGTTTTCAAGGTGAAGAAAGGGAGAAGGTATAGGGGTAGGAGGAGAGAAGAATATTCCAAAGGAAGCAGGGTCAGGCCAAAAGCTATGAAACAGCATGTTCCCAGGTCTCAGGTGTAGACATTGGGTTGGGGACACTGAAGCAGCATCACCCGGATGCACAGCAGTAAGATGGCATCCAGATGGTGGTGGTCTCAGTGGGGTGGAGCACATCTTAAAATCTCCAGAGGGCAGATTGGCTTTTGAAATACCATATCTTAGACTTAGTGCCTCCTTGCTTCCCCTCTTTGCATTCCCCTAGTCTTGATATAAAGTCTTCTGAAACAGAAGAGAGTTATTTGGGAAGGAGGGACTGTGCTCTGAAGTATAAAGGAAAGAGACAGGCAGGTGATCACACCTGGTCCAGGACATCTCATGGGCACTGCCAGTACAGTAGTGGCAGTAATTATTGCAAGAGCCTCAGTGAACCCTGGGAAGCCAGAGACAGACCCAGAAAGCCCATTCCCCTTCCAGGTGTGATGCTCCCATTGCCAATAAGAGAGAAATAGGGATTTTATTTAATCAAAAAAGTTGCAGGTCTCTTCACAGCTCCCTTCCTCTCTTCCTGCCCTCTGTGTAGCCTCATTATCACTAGAGACATAGCACACTTTCTGGTGAGAGAGGCTGGAATTCTGGTTCTCAGAGAAAGAATCCTGACTTCCTATTTCCAAACCATTGAGATCATTTACTTATAAGAATCTAATCCCACTCAGAGAAGAATGTAAATATAGTTAAAGGATCTTCATTGATCATTTTCAAAACATGTACCATTGTTGTTCCTCTGCCATTTACTGTGAAAAATGTGTTGCTGAGATAGGCAGGGAACCTAAGTAGTTAGGGGATAAGGTAACACATTGAAGTTATTTGCTCTTCAAAAATGAATTATCCAGAAAACAATGCTAATACTTCACTGTGAACTTGATTATATTTAAAAGGACAGATTGTGAATGCTGCAAGTGTTGTTATTTCCATGATGCTGCATAGTTTCCAAACACATGGAAAGGAATGGTTTTAAGAATGCTTAGAGGGCTTTATTAACTGGATTGCATTTCAAAACTCTAGATTGTGTGATTAGTATTTGAATATTTTTAAAATTATCATTTTAGGTATTTATTTATTTAAGAAAAGGCCATCTTGCAAAAAAAAAAAAAGATTTGATGCAACTGATAGTGGAGTTTTTTTATAGAGGGATCATCCGGGCTGATAGTTACCACTACATAGTTCTTCATGACTTGAGATTTTGAAGGAATTTTTTTCTGGGGCTGGGTAAAGTTAATTTTAGATTCTTGGCTTGAGGTTGTGGGTTCTGAGGTCCTGTACGCTCCATTGCCTCTCTCACAATCATTCCAGACTTCCATACCCTCAGCATCCACTTCCTTTAGTAATAAGTGAGTTTTTAAGATTTACACTTGCAAATTGCAGATGCTTTCCATATGATGATGTAAGGACTTAAAATAGTAAACCTTTAAATTTGAACACATGAAAAATGCATTCTACAATTGAAGAATTAAAATTTTTTAATTCAGATGATCTTTACTTAAATGAGAGAAATCTTTGGTGGTAAATAAGGTTAATTAATATTTGTGGCTTATAATTATGAAAGATAATTATATGTTTTATTTTATAATTATCTTGCACTTAACTATATGCTAAAAATTAGGAATTATAGACAACATACTAGAATCCATGCAAAATTTGGAATTTTCACTTGTACATGTACTTTTTCTGAATTCTCTTTGCTTTAAAAAAAGTGGGACAAAAACTTCTGGGGATGCATCGATAACATCTGGAAATTACTTATATTGGTATTAAAGTCTCTAAATATAAGGAGAGTAGGACTGTAACCAGAATGTTTTCTAATTCAATCATATTTATGTCTTTGGTGAGTTGTTTCTTGGGTGGACGATTACTGTTGTGAAAGTCACAAAGTGTATTGTGCACTGAAAACTTTCTCGGTGGTTTCTAGTTTAATATTTGGTATATTGGTCTGATATTTTTCATTTTAACTTGTTACACATTTTCTGATACTCTGCGCTTTTTAACTTGCATTTATAGAGCACCTGCTGTGTGTCCAACACTGTTCTAGCACTGGTAAAAGATGGGCAAGCCCAAATGGATATAGAACACTATCATAGAACTTAAATCCTAGTCAAGCAGAAAAATAATAAACAAGGAAAAAATATATATGTTAATGATAGGTCTTGAGGGGCAGAAAAAATACAGTAGAGAAAGGATATGAAGTAGAGGTAGGGATAGGGAGAACAATTGATGGTTAAGACCTTCGGGGATCTTAGTGAGAAAGTGATTCTTGAATTAAGACCTGAAGCAAATGAGGAAAAGAACCTTGGTACCCTTGAGGTATTAAATGGCACAGCTAGTGCAAAGTCCCTGAAGGTGAGAGCATACCTAACATGTTCAACAAGTAATGAGGAGAGAAGGGGAGATGAAAAGAAGAGGAGGCCAGACAGGTAAAGAAGAGACCACCTTCACAGGGCCTTGTAGACCACTATATGCACTTTGGTGTTTACACTAAGTGCACCAGAAGCCACTGAAGCAGTTGAGCAGAAAAGCAAGATGTGATCTAACATTAGTTTTCACTGTAGCTTTCTGGCTGGTGCGTTGAGGAAAAGAATGAAAACAGGCAAGGCAGAAGCAGGAAGACTACTGAGGAAGCTAATTTACTAGTCTGGAAAAGAGACGATGGTGGTATATAAATAAAATGAACTGGGTATTGATACCAGGACAGTGAGAAGTGCTCACATTCTGGGCTATTCAGAGAAAAAAAATGAATAGGATTTGCTGACAGGCTGGCTTTATAGATGTAGGGTAGTAAGCTGATGTAATAGAAATTGGAGTTCAGCATTAAAACTGCTGATGAAAGAGAAATGGGAATGACTCTAGAAAAAATAAAAAGGGAAAGCAGGATATATGTTGAAAGAATGGAGCTCAAACAAAAAACTCTGGAGAAGGATTCTTGAACCAATCTGATTAACTGATGCTAGTTCCTTTTGGTAAATGGTCTGTAAGTACCTTTGTGTGTCTCTGGGGTGTTGGTGGTGGTTGGGGGTGGTTGGGGGCTGACATTTAGTGATGTGGTCAGATGAAGATGATGACAAAAAGAATCATCTAAACTTGTGTGCTTTACAAACAATTCAAGGATGCTTAATTAAGCTAAGAGTAAAAAAAAAATAAATATACACAGGGAAAAGAAATGAGGACTTCTCAATTTGGAGCCAATATTTATATTTACACACACAGTTTGGTTAGAAAATATATAGCATAGATAACACAGAAAAGCAAAAAGCTGATAGTTCAAAAAAAAGGAGAAAACATTTTATTTAAAATTTTTTTCTATTGGAGCTAATTTTAAAAGTAACTAACTGGACTCATCAACTTAAACTGGTAACTGGATTTTTTGTTTGTTTGTTTGTTTGTTTTTTAAGAAGAATGTCTCATTCTGTATCTAAAAGAATGTATCCTATTTTTTGGACTATAAGATGCAGTGTTTTGGGGGTTTTTTTTACATTTTTTTGGTTCAAAACTTTTTCCCCCCAATTTTCCTCCTCTAAAACCTAGGTGTGTCTTATGGTCCTAAAAATACAGTGAGTAGCCTGTCCTCTGCTGTCACTTTCACATTCCCAGAGACAGGAAGAACCTCTGAACATGCACCCCTGTTCTGCTATTTGGTTTCTAATACTATTCTTAAAAGCAGTAACAGTCTTCTTGGGAACAAATTGATTCCATGTTTAGTGGCAGGGAAAGTGAAGGTAGTTAGAAACATTTTGTTACTGGAAGTAATTCTTTCAGAGGTATCTAAGAAAGTATCAAAAAGAAAAGAAAGCTTTTAAAAACTCTGAAGGGAATCACAGTCATTAAATTGTAACATATGAGCATTAAAGGAAACAAAGAAGATATTACTGTATTTTGCCTTGTAAAATGGACTTTTTCCCCAAATTTTTGAGAGAAAAATAAGGATGCACATTATACATGGGTAGTATTAATTCTGTATCTATATAAGTGCTTTTAATTCTTTTATTTATGCTTATGCACTAAAAGTGTAACTCTAGAAAGCAGTAACAATATCTGTATGGAAAATAATACCCTAGAATATGATCACTGGTTTTATATATAAAAAAATTGAATCAGAAAATTAAAACAAAAGATTTTTTTCCTGAAATTTGGACCAAAAACATGGTTGTGCATTATATACATCAAATGCAGGTAATTAAGAACAGGTAAGCCTGTTTGGTGCAGCTCAGAGGACTGGGTGCTGGCCTGTGAACCAGAGAGTTAACTGGTTCAATTCCCAGTCTAGGGCACTTGTCTGGGTTGCAGGCCAGGTCCTGAGTGGCGGGTGCATGAGAGGCAACCACACATTGATGTTTCTCTCCCTCCGTTTAATAAAAATAAAAAAGGATAGGCAAGTCTGTTGGAAAAAGGCACAAATTCATGATGATACTAAAAGGAGAAAGCCAATAAAAAGTGCACTAAAGCATCAATGTAATATACACTTCAATTTTAAAAAAATATTGTGTGTAATAAATGCTGTATTTTGCTCAACAAAAATTATGTGATCTTTACAGGAAAGTTTTGATTAACAGATTATCAATTACAAATAAACTTATTTTTCTACAGAGATTAAAATTTAGAAAGATAATTTTGTAAAAGAGAAGAAAGTTGAATGGATCAATCTAGTATAGTGTTTGGGTGAATTAATCAAGACTGATTAATAGAAATACACATTGACCAGTAAATATAGACCAACATGTAAAGATCACCAAGATTTTGTAAAGAAACTTATAAAATAAGAAAAACTGCAGAACGTTAATGTTTTACGACTGCAAATCTGAAGGGTTCCCACAACACTGAATGACCATGGAGAGGGGTTTGAATAGAGGTGGAACTGGCGCATATCCCAGTCCATTTGCCTTCGCACAATGGCCCTCACCTTATGGTTATAAACTGTAATGAGAGGAAGCACAGTAAATTGTAATAAGAAGCAAAACCAAACTTAGTCTAGCTGCTCTACCTCAGGAGGAGTTGGGAGGAAGAGTCAGAGCAGTGTTGGGGAGGGGAAATTCCTTCCTTTGCTGCTCTTGAGTTCTTATGATGGGACTAATAATAAAACTGGCATGAAACTAGATTAACAGGAGAAAAACCAATTTAATGCATGCATGCAGATCATAAATGATACTCAGAGAAATTATTGATGTAGGTAGCTTTTTACACCTTTTAGACAAACAATAGATTTGTGAAGAATTAACAGGATAAAGGAACTTAGATTTGGGTGCTTATTAGGAATCTAACTGAAGTTCAAGCTTGAGTAGTTAATTAGTACAAAGAAAAAATGACAAAGTTTGTTTATGCACATTCCTTAGCCCTGAATTCCCTAACTGTGGTGATAAAGATGTCTCTCATTAGACGCTAGGTGCAGGGATAGACCTTTCACATTAGAGATTTATCTCCTGCTTTTAGGCAAACACACAGAGAGAGAGGTCAGAGTTCTTGCATTAGCTATTTCTTAAGTAACTTCAATTCAAAATAAACAGTATGCCATTGTGGGGTATTTTGGGGTAGCCTGCCCTGGGCCCTGAGTGCAGCAAAGCATAAGTTCACAAGAGAAATTGAATCTATATGTGCAGGAGCTTTGGATACTGCAGACAATGTGGGTTCTCTCCCCCAGGGTGGGTATGCTTGCAGCCAGAGTAGATGATAATATCAAGTGATTGTACCTTGTGCTATTTTGCTACCATATAACTACTTGTAATGATTGCTGTGTTCTGAAATGGCTTGGGAAACTGACATGAAAAAAAAGCTGGGGCAGCAATACTTATATCAGACAAAATAGACTTCAAAACAAAGGCCATAACAAGAGACAAAGAAGGTCACTGTATAATATGGAAGGGAATACTCAAACAAGAGTATATAATCCTTGTAAACATATGAGGTCTGTCCAAAAAAATTCCAGCTATTGTTAATAGAATGCAAAGAGTTTGTGCAACATCAATTTAACCTGGAAGCCAGGGAGAGTGTACTGGAATGCACATGCATGAACAATACAACTTCACTGTACTAGTCAGTGGGGGTGGTAGACACCATCAAGTGAGCATGTGTACTGTGTGGCTGTCACATTCAAAATGACTGAGTGAGTAGAGCAACAAATCTGCAACAAATTTTGCGTTATGCTTAAACATTCCTCCTTGGAAACTATTCCAATGATTCAGAAGGCTGCAGGTATGGGCAACTGGTGATTGACAGCTCCATCATGACAACCCACCCACTCATGTATTATGTCTTGTGCAGAGGTTTTTGTTGAAACATCAAATCACCCGTGTAACTCAGGCCCCCTACAGCCCACCTTTGGCACCCTGCAACTTTGGGCTTTTCCCAAAACTAAAATCCCCTTTGAAAGGGAAGAGATTTCAGGCCACTGATGAGATTCAGGAAAATATAAGGGCCCAGCTGATGGCGATAGGGAGAACTGTATGAGGTACCAAGGCGCCTATAATGAAGGGGACTGAGGCATCATTGTCCTATGTCCAATGTTTCTTGTATCTTGTATGTTCTTCAGTAAATGTCTTTATTTTTCCTATTATATGGCTGGGTACTTTCTGGACAGACTTCATATATGCACCCTACATAGGAGATCTAAATATATAAGGAAAATCTTGGAGGTCTCTAAGAAGGAGATTGACAGTAATACAATCATCATAGGGAATTTTAACACCCCATTGTCAACAACGGATAGAACATCCAAACAAAAAAATCAATAAGGATATTGAGGTATTAAACAACACCCTAGATCCAATGGACTTAATTGATATTTACAGAACATTTCACTCAAAAGAAGCAAAATATACATTCTTTCAAAAACATATAGATTTTCAAAGATAGACCACATGGTAGGGCAGAAAGCAAGCCTCAACAAACTCAAGAAAATTGAGATCATAACAAGCGTCTTCTTGGATCACAATGTCTTGGAACTAGAAACCAACCTCAAGGAAAACTCAAAAACATACAAATACATTGACACTGAATAACATGCTATTAAATAGTGAGTGGGATAACAATGAGATCAAGGAAGAATTCAAAAAGTATTGGAAACAAATGAAAATGAACACAAAACAACCTAAAACCTATTGGACACAGCAAAGGCAGTCCTGAGAGGGAAGTTCATAGTGATACAAGGCTACCTAAAGAAGACAGAAAAATCTCAAATAAACAACCTAAACATACATCTAAAAGAACTAGAGGAACAACAAACAAAGCCCAGAGCAAGTAGAAGGAAGGAAATAAGATCAGAGCAGAAATAAATGACATAGAGACTAAAATGACATGGAGAAATTGATCAAATGATTAATGAATCCAGGAGCTGGTTCTTTGAAAAGATAAAATTGATAAACCTTTAACCACACTCATCAAGAAAAATCAAGACCAAAATAAAATCAGAAATGATAGAAAAATAACACTGATATCACAGAAATACAAAGGATTGTAAGAAATTACTATGAACATTGTAAGAAATTGGACAGCCTGGGCAAAATGGATAAATTTTTAGAAACATACAATCTTCCAAAACTGAATCAAGACAAAGCAGAAAGCCTAAATAGACTGATAACAACTAGTGAAATTGAAACAGTAATAAAAAAAAAAACCTCCCAGCACACAAAAGCCCTTGATCAGTTGGCTTCACAGGCAAATTTCACCAAATATTCAAAGAAGAACTAACTCCTATCCTTCTCAAACTATTCCAAAAAATTCAAGAAGAAGGAAGACTCCAAAACTCTTTTTTTTTATGAGGCCAGTATTATCCTAATTCCAAACCCAGGTAAAGACACAACAAAGAAAATTACAGGCCAATATCTCTAATGGTCATAGATGCTAAAATTCTCAACAAAATATTGGCAATCCAGACCAAGCTATATATTAAGAATTATATTAAGTGGGATTTATCTCAGGGATGCAAGGATGGTACAATATTTGCAAATCAGTAAACATAATATAACACATCAACAAAATGAAGGACAAAAACCACATGATCATATCCATAAATGCTAAAAAAGCACTTGATAAAACCCAGTACCAATTTATGATAAAAACAGAAAAGTGGGCTACTGCCAACCTCATACTCAATGGGCCAAAACAAAAAGCTTTTCCCTTAAGATCAGGAACAAGAGAAGGGTTTCTGCTTTTACAACTCTTATTCAACATAGTACTGGAAGTTCTAGCCATAGCAATTAGACAAGAAGAAATAAAAGGCAACCAAATCGGAAAGGAGGAAGCAAAACTGTCATTATTTGCAGATGACATGATGGTGTACATAGAAAACCTTATAGGATTCACAAAAAAACTACTGAACCTAATACGTGAATTTGCCAAAGTAGTGCAGTACAAAGTCAATATTCAGAAATCATTGCTAGTTTTGTACACCAACAATGAACTATCGGAAACAGAAACTAGGAAAACAAATCCCACTTGCTATATAGCAACAAGACAAATAAAGTGCCTAGAAATAAATTTAACTAAGGATATAAAACACCTGTACTTGGGAAACTATAGAACACTGAAGAAAGAAATTGAGGAAGGTAAATGTAAGCATATAAATGGAAGTATGAACTGTATTCATGGAGTAAAAGAATTAACTTCATTAAAATGCCCAGACTACCCAAAATAATCTATAGATCTAACATAACTCCAATTAAAATACCAATGACATATTTCACTGATCGAGGACAAATATGCCAAAAATTTATATGGAACCAAAAACGACCCTGAATAGCTTTAGCAATCTTGAGAGAGAAGAAAAAAGTTGGAGAGATCACAGTACCTGATATAAAAGTATACTACAAGGTCACTATAGTCAAAACAGTGTGGAACTGGCATAAGAAAAAACACATAGATCAATGGAACAGAATAGAGAGCCCAGAAATAAACTCATGTGTCTATGATCAATAAATATTTGACAAAGGGGGTAGGAGCATAAAAAGCCTCTTCAATAAATGGTGTTGGGAGAACTGAGCTGGTACATGCAAAAAAATGAAACTACACCACCAACTTATATCATACACCAGAATAAACTCAAAAAGGATAAAAGACTTAAATACCATAAAATTCCCAGCAGAAAACTAAAGCAGTAAAATTTTAGATATCCAGTCCTGGCTTCTGTGGCTCAATGGATTGAGTGCTGGCTTGCAAACCAAAGGGTCCCAGGTTTGATTCCCAGTCAGGGCTCATGCCTGGGTTGTGGGCCAGGTCTCAGTTGGGGGGGGGGTGTGAGAGGCAACCACACACTGATATTTCTCTCCTTCTCTTCCTCACTCCCTTTCCCCTCTGTCTAAAAATAAAGTTTTTAAAAAATTTTTCAGATATCCCATGTAGTAGCATTTTTGCTGTCATATCTCCTGTGGTAAGGGAAGTAAAGAAAAAATAAACAAATGGGACTACCTCAAATTAAAAAGCTTCTGCACAGCTAAATAAACAATCATCAAAATGAAAAGGGACTGACTATATGGGGAAATATATTTGCCAATGAGACAGCAGAAAAGGGTTTAATCTCCAAAATATATAAAGAACTCACATGACTCAGCACCAGGAAGACAAACAATCTAATTAAAAATGGGCAAGAGATATGAACAGACATTTCTCCAAGGAGGAGACACAAGAAGGCACATAGACATAGGAAAAGATGCTCAACATCACTAGTCATCAGAGAGATGCAAATTAAAACCACAAAGAGATATCATCTCACTCCTGTCAGAATGGCTTTCCTCAATAAATCAAAAACCAACAAGTGCTGGTGAGGATGTCAAGAAAAGGGAACCCTTTTGCACTGTTGGTAGGAATGTATATTGGTGCAGCCACTCTGGAAAGCACTATGGAATTTCCTCAAAAAACTAAAAATGGAATGGCCTTTTGACCCAGTGATCCCACTGCTGGGAATATACCCTTAGTATCCTGAAACACCAATTCAAAAGAACTTATGCAGCCCTATGTTCATAGCAGTGTTCTTTACAATAGCCAAGTGCTAGAAACAGCCTAAGTGCCCATTAGTAAATGAGCAGATCAAAAAACTCTGGTACATTTATGCAATGGAATACTACACAGCAGAAGGAAAGAAGGAACTCCTACTTTTCACAACAGCATGGATGGAACTGGAGAGTATTATGCTAAATGAAATAAGCTAGTAGGTGAAAGACAAATACCATATGATCTCACTTATAAGAGGTATCTGATGAACAAAATAAAGTAACAAGTAAAATAGAACCATAGGCATGGAAACATGGAACAGACTGACTGTGGCCAGTGGAGACGGGTTAGGGGGATAATGTTGGAAAGAAGGGGAAGGGACTAATCAAGAACATGTATGAATGACCCATGGACATGGACAGCAGTATGGGGATTGACTGTGGGTGTTGGAGGTGGACTGGATGGAGGAGGACCGAGGCAGAAAAACTGGAGCAACTGTTATAGAATAAAATAAAAATAAAAATAAATAGAATGGCTTGGAAGTGTAGCAATTGTAGCAGCATGCAGTTCAGGTTGCATTCTGTTAGTATAAACTAGCAGGGTGAAGAGCACAGTGAGCTAATGGGACTTTTTCAGTAAAGTTAACAGGTTAAACCACACAACAGGGACACCAGATGCTGCAGAAATATGTCCTCACTGACAGGCTAGAGCAGTTTTGTTTATCTCCAGCAGCAAATGCTGACCAGTAAGAGAAGACTGAACTTTGAGGGCAAAGGCAACAATAATAGAATTATTACTTCAGGATAAAATTTGAGGCATTTTAAATATATAGCATAATAACTCTTAGACAAATATATAATGTTCATTGTGGAACCAAAAATGTGGTTAAAAGATGTTTTATGCTTACACATTTTGACTCAACAAATAGAGATTCTAAGTTGCTTATACTAAAATGCCAAAAAAAAAAAAGTCCATAGCATTATTTAAATGAATAATGGAAACTATACTTGCTTGTTGCCTGGAATGCAGTCTGACCACATTGTAAGTAATTTCCCTGTGGTTTATTTTCTAGTAGAGCAAAGAAAGAACTACATTTTATGTGTTTCAGTAATGTCACAAGTTTTTTCTATCAGAATGCTCACAGAAGTTATAAAGTTTTTAGAAGTAAAAGTTTCCTAAGTTTGTTGATTAGTATATAGGGTATTTGTTTTATGCATTATGTATATGTGCTGTATCATTTTATCATTTAAAATTTTGAAAGTAACCTGGGAAAATATTTGTAAGCTTTGAATAAGAATTATTGGTTGCATAATTTAAACAGTGAATAATATTTGAATAAGAATTGTGTATTTTTGAAAAAGGCTCCTAAAAATCAATGTAAAAAATAAATAAACCTAGAGAGAAAAATGAAAAATTTATGTTTACAATAGTAACTTAAATTCTGGATAGTTATCCTACGGAAAAATTCACATATTCATATAAAGATTTCAAATACATGGAGGGGTCAATGAGTTTTGTAGAGGGTGGGATATAATTATTAAACATTGAGTATATGCATGGGACCACACCCAGAGATGATTATGTGGTATGTCATCTCTGCTTAAAGTAAATGTTAGTAATTCTCTGGATAATCACACATCAGTCACTTTTCAAAGGCTTATTTTCCAGAGAAGAGAACCCATGCAGAAAACATCAAAAATCAGAATGGCCATTGCTTTAGCGAAGATCAACCGGGGAACATTAATTCAAGGATTACACAGCATATCCAGATCCTCCAAATCAGTGGCCGAACTCCTGCAGCCTCAGCTTGTCTGTAGACTTGTTGAGTTAAGGGACATAGCTCATCATCTGCTGAGGGAAGTTAATGCACCAAAGCAACCCCTATATAATGTGCAGGTAAGTGAATATTGCATATGCACAAAGTACAGAGCCTTTTTATAGAAACTTTTGAAGTTTCTATTTTATTTGAAAAATAAAAAATGTTAACACATTTGGTTATTTTACATATAAAACAAGAATAGTTGGAGAAGAGAAATGAATGGTTAGCCCTTTTTTAAAGATAGTGTATATACTCTGGTTTAAATAAATCTAAAAGAGGAAGTAATGTGGACTTCCTTTTTTACCTTGTTATTTAATTGAGCTCTATGAAACTGTCAATTTCAAATAGTTCATCCTAAATATAAGCATATGGATTACCTCTTATGTCAAACCTAAAATCCTACAACAAACCTTAAAAATAAATGTTTTGTTTCATTTTCCCCATATCCTGTGTTTCCAAAACAACCCTTAATTGACATAACATACTGAGTATTTTTAAGTATAAACTCATTTTGTTAGACCTCTCAACATCCAGGTATATTTCAAATTATATGTGTTCTACATTGCTTCATTGAGCCTCTGTTAAAGGATGACAATTCTTAAAACTCTTTCAGACTAAGTTTTTTTTTTCTAAATTTTATGTCACAGAACTCTGGATTTTTCAATCTGGACATTTTTCAGAGCATTCTGAATGTTACAAAAGATTTGGGGTCTTGCAAATCTGGCATCTGATCCCCAGAGTGAATAAATTTAACTCCTTTGTTGGAGGGAGAGAAAACCTGGCTCAAACTGAGTTACGCCAAAGAGGAGATGTACTAGTTCAAGTACCTGAACAGTCCAGACTCGTTAAGTTTTCAGGCATTGCTGGAACAGATACTCAAATGATGCCTTCAGGATCCTTTCTCTTTCTGTTGCCTGGCATTGCTTTCTCAGGGTTGACTCCATTCTCAGACTGACCTGTCTCTCATGGTCAGAAGATGATTTGCAGCTCTTTCAGAGCTTCATCCTTTCAGGTGGAGTTATAGCAGAAGAGAGTGAGAGTCTTTGACCCAACCTTCCTGGCCAAGCCCGAGGTTCTCTCATAGACAATGGCTTACCTCTGAACCAGGGAAAGGGGAATCGCTGATTGGCCTAGGACTCAGTTACCTGCTGCACTCCCAGAATGGAGGTGGAGCTCCATCCACACCACTTGACCTGAGAGAGGGGAAAGGATGAATCTGCAAACAAAAACCTGAGTTGTTTCTAGATGAGAAAATGGATGATGGATGGGATGGCAAAAATTAACAAAATATTTATTATGTAGAAATCTCTCTAATCAAAGATTTTGACACTTCCAGAAAGCATCGGATATTTCAACTATGGGCTGCCTAGGACAGCATTTTTAAATGACTCTCTTATAATATCTGATGTTTTAGAAAGTAAAAAATGGTTTGTGTTTGTTACCCATTGGATTGTCGAAGTACTAATAAACCTTATCGCTGCATCTTTAGATCATCAAAAAGAAACATAGCTGAACCACATTATTTTAAATTCCCACTGTAATATCTTTCTGAATCTAATGTTGTGCCTCAACATTTCTTTCCTTATATTGTGAGACCCATAGTTTTTACAGAGGATTGTATATGAAGTGTCCCTTGGAGACTATTTCTGTATTTATTAGAAAATCATGTTTAAAGACATTTTTCATTGTATTGTTCAGAGTCTTTTTTTTTTTTGCTCCTCTTTGCTAAATCAGAACTGTAAAGGGTCTGAGAGTTTTACATTATATACAAGCTAACAAGATAGCCTGCCATGGTTACACAAATACACACACACACTGACAGACCACACAAGACCCTTGTGGCAGAGATGCAGGTTGTTTATTGTTCACAGCAAAAGCAGTGACCAGAACATTGTCTTGTGTCAGTTTTCCTCACCTCAGTTCCCACAGGGCAATGGGATTAGAGCCAGATGTTACCTGTGCATGCACATAGTAAGCTGTATCACAGGAGAAGAACCCTGAAATGAGATTTGGCTTTTTATAGGGTTGCTGGTGTGTCTGCACAACTTAGGGAGTGGTGGTGAAGGGAAGAGAGAGAGAAAGAGAGAGAGAGAGAGACAGAGACAGAGAGAGAGACAGAGAGAGAGACAGAGAGAGAGAGAGAGAGAGAGAGAGAGAGAGAGGGAAGTAAATGTCTCTGGAGGGAAAGGAGGAGAGGGCTTTATCTTTAGTGCCCTGTGACATGTCTTAGGTTTATACTTATCCAGGGTTTACTCTTCCTTCCAAGGCTGGTTGCTATTCAACAATATCCTTTGCTCAGAAGACCCAATCTGTACGGGAATGAGAAAAATCCATGCAGAATTGTTTTCCAGTACTCATGAAAATTCAGTAACAGAAAAATAATCTCTATTTTTACTTGAATCTGTGTTCCTTTTTATCCAATAATGAGAACAAAAAACACAGTCTATTTGCCTTTTTGCTTTGATTGACAGTACGTTTCACAGGTAAATTTAGAGCTTAGTTGTGATAACTTATTCCAGGAACCTGAGATGAGAGAAACAGGCTGAAGGATTAAATGACTTGTGGAAGGTCTACATGCTGACTGTGACTCTTCTGACATTATTCCAGGTTAACACCTATGAAATTTCTTCTCCTTTGTTCTTGTTCTAATTGTCTTAGGACATAGGTTTAACTTTTAAACTCTTTATTTTAAAATATTTCAAAAATATATAGGAGGTAGTTTATCATAAATCCCACCAAAACTTACCTGGCGATAATATTTTGCCAGATTGCCTTCACATATCTCCTTTATAAAAAGAACTATAATTAACCCTGCCCTAATCCTGTCCCCTGTTTTTCTCCACCAAAGTTAATCATTACCCTGAAGTTGATATGAACATTTCCATGCGTATGTTTATATTTTCACTACATTTGTACACAGATATTTTTCTTTATATATTTAAAATTTATATATAAGGTATATAATACTTGTCCTTCTGAAATTTTCTTTTTTATATTTCTATATATAAGCATCTTTCAACATTTATCTATATAAACATATATTTCAACATTTTTATATATGTAGCTAGGATTTATTATTTTGCTTGTGGTATTTCATCATAAGAAAAAAAATCCACGGTTTATCTATTACTGGACAGATGGACAGTTTAACTTCAAATTTTTTGCATTACAAAAAGTGCTTCAGTGAACCCTCTCGTACATGACTCCTTATCCGTGTGTCTGAGACACTCTCCAGGTATATATCCAGAAGAGGGATTGCTGGGTCATGAGGAATGCATACCTTCAATTTTATTATCTGTTGTCAAAATGCTTTTCAGAACGGTACACTTGGAGATCACTGTCATTCTCAAATCTGAGCATAATTTCTTCATTTCTGGAAAGTTCTTAACCATTATTTTTTCAGATATTACCTCTTTTGCATTTTTTTTTCTAGTCTCTTGTTCTGCAATGCTTACTAAACATATACTTGGGACCTTCTCATTTTAGTCTTTGTTTACCTTCTTCACATTTTCCCCTTTCTTTATCTCTTTTTGATACATTTTAAATAATTTCCTCTGAACTTTCTTCAGTTAACCAATTCTCTCCAGCTGTATTTAATATACTCTCTTACTTATTGAATGTATTTTAAATTTCAAACACTATCCTTACCATTCTTGGAAGTTTTATTTGGTGTTGTTCTCCAATTTGTAATTTTTTTCAAAGTGTCTTTTGAAAAATCTTTAGATATTTTAAACATACTATTTATGATCTTTTTAAAGGTTTTTCTCTGAGATATTCGGGAGATGAGAATCTTCCTGACTATTGTGATCTATATTGTGCCTCACTCAGCAGATCGTTTCTTTTGGTGTTTTGTTTTAGTTTTGTTTAACTGAAAGTTTTTCTTCAGAGATTTTTTAAATAAAATAGAAACCCTTCTCACCTGGACCCTTCCCTCTAGAGGATTTTGCTGGTGGTCCCAGGGTGTCAGCCTTGGTGGAGACCTGCTCCCTTACCCTCCGGACTGGGTGCAGCTGTCCTGGTCCCACTTTCACCCAGATGGCCTGAAAGCCTGCTCCGCACCTCGTGTGCATCTAAGTCTCATCTCCAGTCTCTGTATTAAAACTCAAGCCCCCAGCCATTATCAGGTTCCCATAAGATCCCCAGAGTTCCTGGGACATAAACTTAGACACTCACCGCTCCAGCTTTTAGTTCCCAATTTGTTCCTGGCATGGGGATTTCCCACCCTCCTTTTCTTCCTTTCAACTCAGTTTTATATCAGATTTTTGGTGTATGACTTTATATATAATTTGTAGGTTTTTCTGTGTGTGTGTGTGGGGGGTCTTTCTTAGCTCTGCCATGTTGCTGGAAGTAGATGTCCTTCAGTTCTACTTCTTAGTATCTTTCATAAATTGTAATGTAAGATTGTTGAATTTATTTTTGGAAGCCAGTAAAGTATGTATAATTCTACCTTGTCATTCATTCAACAAATATTTATTGAAAACCTGACATGTAAAATCACTAGTTTAGGTACTAGGGATTTGGAGATATCTTGCCCTTGGCCTATGACCTGTGGGGATGGTAGGCAATTGAGCAGTAAGCAGTGCCAGTAGAGTGTAGCAAGTGCATCATCAAAGTGTACAAAGTGCACTATGAAAGCATCGACAAGGGGCACGTAATTCCAAAGGCAGTCAGTATAGACTTTCCAGAAGGTGATACTTGACCTCAGACTTGAAGTAGGAGAAATAAGCTTGTAAAGAAGGAGGAGAATTATTCTAGGAAGAGAACAGTGTATATTAAGGTGCTGAAGAAAGAGAGAGCATGACTTACTTAGGAAATGTAAGGACTTTTGTATGGCTGGAGTGAGACAAGTGGGAACAGTTCCAAGTCAGAGGTTCCAGGGTCCTTGAGGGTAGGAGTGAAGAAGGAGTTTTACTTGGGTAATATGCATAAGCTAGAATGTGAAGAGACAAAATTGTCACTGAGAGGTAACTAAGTCCTAGCAGGGAAGAGAACATCATATCTCAAATCTGAAAATCTCAGTGATGACTAAAATACAAGTGTAAATAATGGAGACAGTAGCCTGGAGGGTCAAAGGAAC